AACCCCAACATTGATTGTTCTTTGGATGGACGACCCCTCCCTCCCTAAACCATAGTTATCCCCTTTGTGTCATGAACAATAAATCACAATGCACCGTGTTGATCCTAGATCCATCGTACGTATGTAGCTGTCCTAGAAGATGCATGCAAAGTTGAGACAACAAGTTTGACCTGTTTAGTACACTTGTCAACAAAAGCGTACAGTCTCCTAAATGCATAGCTCGCATTGTATGCCATTGTTTCCTCCCCCATCAAGGAATACGGTAATTCTAAATGGTACACCCATTCTGCGGGTTTTAGTAAATGGATGAATGGATGAAAGATACCCAAAGATGATCCCCTCTCGCTCTTTAATTGCCTCTTTTACTATGTCTTACGTATGACCCTCATTATGCATCATCCTCGTAAACCACCCCAATCATGTATTTTCGATATCGCTTGTTGATAGAATCAGAATCACCATGAGCCCACAATTACGTCTTCCTCATATCCCAATCCACTTGGCACATTGGTTCCATGCAACTTGTTTGTATCAAATTGTGCAAAGGATTATGAGAAATCAATCATGTACAAGGTGTAATAAGGTGAACAACTAAATGCCTACGTGTTTGTGTGTGTGTGTAATGTGAATTGAGCTCCCTATGGTATCCCATGTCATCCTCGTTTTTGTGCAAGACCCATTGCTTTTTGCCGCAATTGAGCGTTCGTTTGGTTGGCAAACATCGGATATACAGCTCTAATTTTAACCCAATCGTAGCCGTACCGCTTGCATCCTTCGTCAAGAGCTTCAACCTCCTCATCTGTCCAACGGTGATAAGTTCGCTTATCGAGTAGGACACTTGCTGGAATAGATTTAATGTTACGACGCGGACGACTTGATGGAACAATAGTAGGTGCTTCATTACGACGACGACGACGACGACGACGACGTTGAGTTGTGGGAGCTTCAGTCTTAACGCTGGTACTCGCTTGGCTGTTGAGTTGATGATCATCTTGTTGCTGAATGCTGCTGCTGGTGGTATCCGATAGCTGTAGCAGGGGTTCACGATCTTCAATTGGATTTGTAATCTCATCAACACTGCTTGGCATGGGCTCATCATCATCGTCAGATATCCAAATAGGCGACATAGGCCCCATATTGCTTGTGCTGTGGTGAACACGTTAGCCCCATCATGCGAGGGTATTCAGCGTGTCAAAACGACCTACTTTGGTAGACCATGTGGTAACCTTTGTTGTTCACTATAAACGTATCATGCATAAGATTCCTCGAAGACAAGCATTATAATAATCAACACCTTACTTGGATGAATCGACATGCTCAATCATGTTGCTACTATGTTGACTTGGCTCATTCGGGTCACCGGCTGATAATAGATGTTGTGGGTTCGGATGGGAGAGTGCCACTGGGAGATGTTCGAGGCTGGCATGAAAAGTAGATGATGATGATCTTGTAAAGGAAGGCACGCTTGCAATAGGAGGAGGGCGATGAGAAGATGACTGTGCATGTGAATGAGATGGTGATGATGGAGGCTGAAAAATCCCATTGTTGTCCTCGATCCATGCATCCAAAGAATCATTGCAGCTGCTATCTTGTGGAGATCCATTGCTTGCCTCATCCTCTGGTATTGCTGATATGACCTTGGGTTTACGTGGATGGTGCTGTTCTCCAGCTTGATCATCATCTTCGCCTTCCAATTGATGGTGTCCACGTTCCATTCCTGCATCATGTGGTTCATTTGGCGTCTCGCGTTCATCCTCTGGCATAGCAATATCATCACTCTGTTTCTGAATTGGGCTGTTGAAATTGAGAGGATTCATTGGGGAAAGGCCCATGCTGATATTGATAGAAGATGAGGATGATGCTGCTGCATTGATGTTGGGCGTGATTGCTGTGTCACTGATGTAAAGCATGCGTTGTCCATGACGGTAATAAAATCTTGTTGAAGGAGGATCATTATCATGCATGGGTGATATGTAATAGTATTCGTGAATGGAACCTTGGCTGTCCCATCCTACGGTCTCGTCGTCGTTGCTGTCGGTGGATCGATTGTCAATGTGAAAATGCATGATGTGCTGGTATAGTCAAGAAGAAGAGAAAGAGAAGGGATGAATATTGATCTCGTGAACAACACCAGCAATATCCATGAAATGCTGTCCCGCTGGCTTGGTTTTCTCAGAGTTGAATCATGTGATCCTTCAATCTTCGTCGATTACAATAGCATTGTGGATCCCGCTTCCCACAGCATGTTGAAGGCCAATCTAGTACACAAAATGAGACACGTCAATGGAAGTGCCCCCGCCCTGTTTTCATGTCCACAACCACATACCTTGGTATCAATAGCTTCCAGGACGATAGGTAATACTTTGTGCCATGACTTTTGCACTCGCGTAGGATCAAAGATGGCACGCAAATCATGTAATGGTTTCGAATCCAGCTAAAAAGGTAGTAGTATCAGGATAAACAAATTGCTCTCTGCCATCATAGTAAAATACATACAAATCCATATGTCTTCATGAAGATATCATATACTCTTTGGCACAGCGGCCGACTTTCATCTCTCAAATCACTCATGATTCTCGCTTTCATTTTGTCGATCACATCTCGAGTCGTATGCTTGTCAATCGTATGGCGTATATCGACAACTGCCCATCTCGCCACTGTATCCAGATACACATCGATAATGTCGTCTCGGCCATGAAGCTGCTTTGGTATCAACACAGGAAAGAAGGTATTCGTAGCTGCAGCATAATCACTCTTGGACCACAAAGCAGTTGTAAAGATGGCCACATTCATGCGATGAACGGTGGACTGTACCCAATCAAGGTCGTTGATGCCATTGGCGAGTGCGAGATCACGTGCCGATATGTTGTATGCGTACAGCTTGGTGGCCCATGCTTCAAACAAAAGGGACCGTGTCAAAGACCACAATGAAGAAGGCACATTGCACATTGCCCTTACCTTGCAATTGGTCGTCCATGGCCCAGACGTGGTCATATACAATGTCGTCCATTGTGTTCGCATTGGTGAACAATGAGAATACTGCTTGTGCTGCTTTGTTTCCTTCGTCGAGTACAGTGGCGTATTCCATGATGAGAGTAAAGGAAGAGAGCAAAAAGAGATTCAAGTGGAAAGATCAAATTGACATGTCGAGGTTCTCCTTGCATGAATCACGTGCTTCATTGGTAACGGAATCTCCTGTGCCATTAGGGCTGTACAATAATGATCCATACCACTGTTAAAGGGATGCAAGCTTCTAATTGGGTTGTATCCTCGAATTTATCCATTGGATCAACTATTTTGCATGAGAGCTGTAAAACGAAAGGTCACGTGCTAGTAGAGCCTTAGACAAATTGAAGATGACTTATTCATGGACGTTCTTCATTGCACTGAATGTTCTATGAATAGCCAACACGCCAAGGTATATGCATGGATACTCGAGATATGTCGACATGATGGTACGCATTTTTTGTACTACTCGGCACCATATGTAATGTTGACTTTTGCACTAAAATCCTTGGCATTCAATGCATTTACCGTTAAGTGTATCCATCGGATAATTTGATCCATTGAGACTCCTACAAGCAGTGAGTGAGTGCATGTGCTTGAACAATAGGATTGAGCTTACTCCACAGCGCGTAATATTGAGGGGGGTAAAGTTGCACCAATCGGGCCGATGTGAGCCGCTCAAGCCTAAAATGGGCAACAAATCTGTTGCAAGAACAGATCACACGACCCCCGAGAACGGGAGAGTGATGTTCCTTTTGCCCATCACATCCGTAATCCCTCACGCTCACTCAACAAGTGGATTAAATATGGCGATATTTTCCTAGAATGCTCCGCTAACAAGGTATTATCATCATCCCTGCTAGAAGAAGATATCGTAACAGCGATAAGGGCCACCACCAGTAGTAGTCAGCGTATAAAAGCACTATGATCTTGATTACCTAAAACTTGAAATAAGGCTTATCAACTTCGTCATCACCACACCCTCTTTTTTGTTTTCAACTGAACACAATCCCCATTCTCGGACTATCTCAACGTCATACATGACCTTGCTAACGATGGAAGATTTGTTTTCCCTGGTTCATTCTCCCTCATGTACAATGAAGCTTTGAAAGAACATGTGCCATTGTTTAGCGTCACTGATAATGTATGTTGAGTGACTCACTCGTTGGTGATCATAAGTGAGTGGTGACTTGGATCCGTGGATGTTGCGTTTGATCTGGATCAGATAATGTGTAACCAAACAATCCTCATCCGACAGAATAACCTTGTAATGTGTTACCCGGCTCATTGCATTTGCCGGCATGTTTGCGTGTGTGTGAAAATATGGATCTTGATACGTTTACATTCTTATGAGATCGACATCAAAGATCTTGTCTCTCGTAGACGTTGCACCCCCACCTCAGGTTATTTAGAGCGTCATTCTATCGGCTTATTAGCTGCATGGGAGACTTGCAACCATGGAAACATTACAACTTGGCATACGAGTTATAGTGCAAAACGAATACGGATCGATAACGCCAAAGCAATGAATACACAACAGATCTTTCCAGAGCTTCAAGGCGGGGTAAATTTGACCCATATCAGTTGCACACAGCTTGCAAATGGTTGATCACAGGCTCACTCTTCTATCCTTCTATAAAAGCTGTTGTGCTTCATATTACAAATCTAGTGCAAGGTGTAAGCTGCCTATTTTTTCTTTCTTCACCTCATCCCCGCGCATCATGGATACCAAAGACGGCGACGATACCAACACCATTGCCTCTGTGCAGCTTAATGAAACGAGAGATACATTACAGCAGCAATCAATATCAAAAAGTAACCAAGGCGAGACGATCGAAAAGGTCCAATCAATACCCCAAGCCGACAAAGAGGATGGGAAAAAAGATGTCAACCTCGAAACACCACCTTCTTCAGACGAAGCGAAACCAAAAACTCGATCACGACGGATATTTGAGCGCATTCGATTTGTGCTACTCGTTATTGGTATTATCTTATCCATGTTTATGATTTCACTCAATTCTACGGTTGTGGCGCCTGCAATGAACATTATTGCAACCGAGCTTGATGCAGTTGCTCAACAGGTAGTCTTTATTCTACAATGCATATCAACAGCTCTATTCAACTCAATCTTTATCTACTCTACAGACTTGGATCGCCACATCATACCTTGTGGCAATGAATTCTTTTCAAGGCCTAGCGGGGAAGGTATGTATATGAATCTCAGAAATCAAGGAAATCATGCTGACATTTTTGTGTACATAGTTTTCGGACATCTTTGGCAGGTGAGCGAAGAAGCCATTTATCACGACAACAGCATACGCTGACGCACACGCACGCACATACACAAAGAAAACCCGTTGTGCTATTCGGAACGATTTTGTTTGTAGTGGGATCCATCGTTAATTCAACCACGCCTACGATCAATGGCTTAATTGCAGGAAGAACAGTTCAAGGATCAGGGGCAGGTTGTGTGATATCGATGCTCTTTGTTATTGTCACGGACATTGTACCATTACATTTGCGACCTCGATTTCAATCTATGCTCACGGTACATATGCTTGTGTTGATATATACTTTGATGACATTCCTGACATTGATGATGATAGGTCATCTATGGGTTGAGTTCTGTCATTGGGCCTCTCATGGGTAAGTCAATAGACAACCTTATCCAACAGGGCAATGTTCTGAACAAGGATACTACTACTACATACAGGTGGTGCCTTTGTTGATCATGTGACATGGCGATGGGTAAGTCGATGATCATAAACGTCGTATCAGGGACATCTCTCTCTCTCTCTTACACACACACACGTGTCAACAGGATTTCTGGATCAATGTCATTATCGGTGGATGCACCACTGTCATTCTCACTTTCTTATTCAAGGAACCTGCCAAGGTCGCCAAAAGCTCATTTTGGGTCAAGTTCAAGCGAATCGACTTTTTGGGAACTCTCTTCTCCATTGGATTGATCTGTTGTTTATTGCTCGCTCTCAACTTTGGAGATCAATTCGGATGGAATACACCTCATGCGTATGGTCCCTTCATTGGTGCTGCCGTCTCTCTCATTATGCTCATCACTTCCCAAGGATGGATCTCACATGAACCGGTATGTCGATTGCGCTTCTCATTTGGCGAGGTTGGACTTCTATGCTTACTATGTTTCCTTTGGATAGCTCATGCCACGACAAGTCGTCCTCAATCCTGCCATTTTCGTGGTGTATCTTTACATGATGTGCCTTGGATTAAGGTAACACAGCATAACATGGTACAGAAAACAGCCTTCAACTCATGCACTTCTTTAGCTTTATTGGCACGCTTTACTTTGGTCCAATCCTTTTCCAAGCTGTTTTTGGGGCATCTTCCACTTCTTCAGGCATAAGACTTATCCCTTACATGGCTCTTCTTATTGTGGGATCAGTGGGCAGTGGCTTCCTTCTCCCTCGCTTCCGACGCTTGAAGTATTACCTGATGTTTGGCGCCGCATCCAATCTCCTTGGTTACGGTCTCTTTTTCACCGTGAACGAGAACAGCAATTGGGGTCAGCAAGCTTGCTATTTAACATTCTGTGGTAGGTACACCATTGACTTGAAGAATGACACAGCTTTTTACTCTAACGTGCATCACGTCGTATACCCTTATTAGGTCTTGCATTCGGCTTATCACAACAAAATGCCATTCTCGCTGTACAACAAGTGGCTCCAAAGGAGTACATTGCCATTGCCACCACATTGGTATGTAACGCGTTGATTTGTACCCTATATCACATGAGCTTCGCATTGACGTTTCTTAATTAGGTCAACTTTTTCATGATGCTTGCTTCCTCAGTGGTAAGTGTAGACATGTTGTCAGGTGGTTTATCATTGTCTTCCTTATTCATTCGTACGATGTATGACCATAGGGCATTGCTATTTTCCAAACGCTCTACGTGACATTCTTGCAAGGACAAGCTTCAGGTCTCGATCCAGATGTCATGGTAAGGATTCTCTTTTCCCCATCTACGTATCCCATTGTTCAACCTGCATATTAACATGGGGAGGGAAATAGGCACTAGCAAAGAAATATGGTGCACTTGAGAATTACCTATATATCCGTGATATGCCAACCGAGGCACAGCTACCTGTCATTCAATGTTACATGCGTGCGTTGCATACTGTTTTCATTCTCCCACTCGCTGTGGCTGGTCTCGGTCTCATATGCACGCTTTTCATCAAAGATGTGCGGTTCATGGGTCAAGGTGTGGCTAAACCAAAGGATGAAGAACAAGGCAACACGATGGCAGAAAAGGATCATGATGACGATGCAAAGGATATGGATAATGCATCCGTTGTCGTGCAACCTGAAGACAAACAAAAGCAATCATTGTCGACATCTCAATGCGAGGAAGACCATGGAGAATGCCAAACCACTATTCGATAGCTATCACCACCACAACCATTATGACAACAGCATACAACAACCCTCTGCATCCATCTTTGTTTCTTTTTCCATTTTCTCAAAACCATGTACTATTATACAATACAAATCATCCAAATAGAGGATATAATGATGCAAGCTTGCAATAGCGTTAAGTGTTGATTTCTCGAGATGAAGCCACATGTTGAAAGCTAAAGTGTATTGTTGTAACATGAAAGGATTGTTGACCTTATGATTACATAACAACCTTGAATGTGTGTATAGTGAGTGATACAGCTGATGGCCACCTCATATGGGTTGGATGATGTATTACGTGTCATGGGTATGTAACGCGATGAGCATGATGCATAATAGAATCCAGGAATGCTGTATGCGTGTATGCGAATTGATGATGATTACAAGATCAGGAGCACATCAGCGACGGCGGCGCTGTTGAGTTCCGCGGAAGCAATTTGGGCACAGTAGTAAGTAGCTTAGCTGCGATTTTCAGGGCAACCGTTGTCGTCCCTTGTTGCATCCAATTGGTTTCATGTGATGTTGCAGTTAAATCATGAACAAGAGATTAGGAGATAAATAGTTTGACATTGATAAAGAGCCCTTTTTCATCATTATGCGATATGACGTGCATGTGCTAACGTTGATGGGCAGATTGATATGAGTTGTTAGATCATATGGAAGAGTCTCCAGTTGTAATTTATGTTCCCATGAATCATCATCATCAACATCATCAGCTTGTCAACCTTAAAAGACGAATGATCAAAGTTAGACAATGGACCGTGCTGGACCCATTGGAAGAGAAAAAGAGAGAGTGTGAGAGGAGAGCCAATTTGAAAATAGATCAACAAAGCGCTTTGAATACAAAAAGCACCGACATGCTCGACCCTTCCATTTCTAGCACAAGAGAAGCATTTCGCTTTCCCCTGCACCCCCCAGTCGCGGGTGGGAATTATAGTTACCTAAAAGCTGAGGCCGTCAGGTGCTTTTATTTGCATGTGGGGAATGCTTGTAGTATGGTTGGGTAAGGCTGACTCATAGTGGAGGATAATGTTGTTATATGCATGTTGTTGATTCATATCAGTGAAATCGATACTAAAGACCGCATTAGAAGCTTGCAACGTCAAGGACATGACTTTTGCTTCTTTTGGATTCAGGAGTATGAAAAAAAAGTGATCAGCATAAGCAAGGCGAGAGTGCAAGACAAATGAAGGTTATTACTTTCCCTTAAAATAGGCAAATCATTCTGCAGCTCCCATGCACTACAACAAGATAGAGAATCATCATTTCAAGTCTTATCGTGAAGTATGGTTGGTGCTAAAGGTGGGACATTTTTATTTCTGGGAAGGGAATGGATGATAAAGAAAAAAAAAGGTACCACTCAGAAAGCGTCTAGAGGCACGCTCATGGATCCGAGGAATGGAACTGGCCCTGTAGAACCCCCCAACATCGTCCGACCATTTCCGGTCGGAGCTACATGCAATACATGACTCACGTGTGTTGCCCGAAAGCAAACGACGTATATAAATGGGGGCATCATTACTAGGGTTCTCTCCTTTGCACAGACCTACAACTTTCTTTATCCACCACCATGACTTTTCTTCAAACTGATATTGACCCTCTCTTCCTTCGAGAACGACACCTCCGATTAAGCAAGAGCAATAGCAGCCTTAACTCAAGTGACGGCACATCCGAAATCGATAGCAGTAGTAAACCGCCGTTTTCTCTCGTCAAGGGGTTCTTTAATGCATCATCAACGCCAATGGTTGCTTCAAGGTCAAATCCACAACAATCAAGAAAAGAAAACCTGGATCGACTTGTCTCCTTTTACCATTTATGATTGATACCTCGATAAGCGCATTCATCATGCCAAACATTATACCATATTCCCCTTGCTTTGTGTTGTCATCCCAATCGCTTTCTTTCTCTTTCCCGCCATCATCATCCATCATCTTTGCTTTCGTTTCGCACAATCAAGTACATTTATAAATATCACATCACTCGCTTGCATCATTGTTAACAAAATTGGATATTCTTATTGATTGTTGTTGTTGTTGTTGTTGTTGTTGTCAGTAAATGGGTATAACTGGGTTATCATGCAAAGAAATTAAAAGAGGAAAGTGGTGGTGTGATCCATAAATGGTGATGGGGGTGATGGTGTGGTAGCCTGACATGCATGAAGTGACCTAAGCAGCAAATCGGCCAAGAGTGGTTCATCGTCCTCCTCCTCTTCCTCCTTGAGTTGATAATTGGATATCATGGCCAACAAGTTTTGTGCTAAGTGATAAGCTCGTTGATAGTCGCTTTGAATCTAAATGACGATATGTGTGAGTGCCAAGTTAATAAAAGTAGCATGATTTACTTACCGAGTCGAGCTGCCGTTCGAGTGCAAGTTGGCGGTCTTTGCGTTTGCTGAGTCGTTGTTCATTTTCCTGTGCCACAGCTAGCTTGGCTTGCATTTGCTTACGGCGTTGAATTTCCTTTCCTAGTCGATCCTTGACCACTTCCATTTCACCTTTGAGCCTTTCCAATTCTGTCTGCTTGCTGTTTTCAGCCTCATTCACTTTGGTTTGCCAATGCGCCTGGATCGCTGTAGCATCTTTGGACATGGACGTCTCGGCATCCAATAACTTGTTACGCCATTCATTCCTCTCTTGTTCCATGTTGGCTTCCATTTTTTCCCTTTCAACACGTGCTGCTTCTTCCACTGCTGATTGCTGCTCTATCCTCCATACTGCTCTTTCGGTCTCCAGCTGATTGTTGGCCTCTTTGAGTAAGTCTTCATATTCAGATCTTAGATTTTCTACGCGTGCTTCATGTTGCATAGCTTGATGTTGACTCTCTTTGAAAAACAGTTCTCGTAAACGTTGTAGCTCACTGGTTTCCACGGCAGAGGATGGTGTTGTTGGAGAAGTAACCGTGTTGCTACTACTGCTGGTCCCCGATTTGCTTTGATACTCAAGTCGTAGTTGCCATTCTCGTTTCTCCTGTGCCCGCAAAGATCGCTCACGTGCCAACTCTTGTCGCAAGCTTTGAAGTTCGTCATGATGATGATGGTTGTGATGGTGTTCACTCGTTGCAGATTGAGGCTCTACTACATCTTGCTGTTGTTGTTGTTGTTGTGTCGTAGCTTCTCGAAGTCGATCTTGCATGGCACCCAGTCGTCTCTCATGTTTCTTTTGCTCAGCTGCCAATGTCTGCTCGTATCTTGTCTTTTGTTCTTGCATGGCATCCTCATGTTCCTGTTGCTGAGCAACCATTTGACGCTGCAAATCTTGGATCTTTATGGAAGGTCGTGTTATTGTTCCCTCTCCATTGACATGGATTACCCTTGTATCCTTACTTGTTCCATCAATTGCCGCTCCACATCCTGTACCCGTTTTTCCAATAAACTTTCTTTCATCTTGACCTCTCGAAGCAACTAAGACATAACCATCCTATAAGCATGATGATCGATTCCCATTCTTCCCATCCAAATTTGAATACCTACACTTGACGTGTTTCTTTCATAGGTTGCACGATCTTGTTGGATGGTCTTTTCAAGCCCTTCAGCACGTTCACGATAATCTTTGCATTCTTGGATAAGCTGGATGCCCATTCGTCAAATAGGTGTTGTCTCATTTTCTCGCTCTCTCTCTTTTTTTTTCCCATGGCATATCACCGGGGATGTTTCAGCATCAGATAAATGTATACGTACCGTCACTTTTTCAACTTCCCAATCATGAATAGGTGCTGATGGACCAAGTGTCATGGTCCTTTGTTGTTGTGGGGGACGTGGGGGACGTGGTGGACTTGTAACAGCTTCTTGTGACATGGATGGCTTAAAAGTGTAAAAGAGGGAGAAAGAAACAAAAGGACCGGGAAGATGGAACCCGTGAGCTTTAAGATACAAGCGCGAAGCGTGGTAACACGTTACACTGTTGCATAAGGCCAAGAAATGGTTTTTGCTATCAAATGCTGTTTTTTATTCTTGGTATTCCTCCTCCTCTCCCATCTCTTCATCATCATCTCTAGGTAATAACTCTATGACTTGCTGTAGCATAGCATCAAGATCGTCTTCAGTAAATCGTTCTTCACACTCTTCAATCAACTATAAAGCATCCTCATGATTAGCTCCCATGTATACATATATAACCTGCCATCTCTCTCTCTCCCTCTTCCTCTCACTGCATGTATCCGTGTCCACTTTACCAGGTATAAGTCAACAGGGCTCTTGGGTCGTAGATTGAGTATTTGTAACTTTTCAGCAACAGTAAGCTCGTATTGTGAAAATGCATCCAAAAAGTTCTGTACTTGAGATACATCTTGAGTATTGCAAGGTGAGCTGTTCAAGTATCCTGTCAACTACTCCCAAGGTCAATAACAAGGTATCCATATGCGATCAAGCATACGTCTCACCTCAAACTGAATGGTCCTCAGATTCTCCGGGAATTCAAGGTTGGGATCTCGCTCTTGTGCCGCTCGTTGTAATTCTTGCTGCTCATTGACAAGGGCAAGCACTTCAAAATTGCTTAGCATACCCGCTCGTGCGTTTTTGACAATCATGTTGGTATGTTTCTGGTGGACAAGTAGTTATGCGGATATAGGGTGTGGAAAAGGAAAGCTTAGCATTCAATAACCCAGCCACACAGCTTCTAATTTGACCATCCAGCAGCATTGACAGCTGACACATTGAATGATCCCAAACCACTTGTCACCCTCCAATAAGCCTATTCCATCATCACTTCACCTTGCGTGATATATAAAAGCAATTGTTTATGCTGATTTGGTATATATAAAAAGTCATCATTATGAGAGGATGCTCTAAATACTATAAGAAAGTGTCTCCTTTTGTGATCGCTCAAGCTTGCTTGCTCTGATATGGTACACCTTGCGCAATTCTCGAAACTGCTTGACAAATCCATCATGATCCAAATTCCCATCCAAAAAGCTTTGTGCGACTGACTCTGACAACTCATCCGATTCATGTATACTGGCCTTTAGTCTTGTCATCATTGTGGCAGGAGAGAATCGCTATATCAATGTGGTCAGCTTATCTATACATGGATGTACAAATCCCAATGCCCTTCCAACTCACATTGAATGCATCATTTTGCTGCTTCTCCTTTTCCTCAAATTGCGCTCGTAATTGGCGATATTCACCATCCAATTCTTTGACTTGATCCCTCAGCTGTTGTAAGCTGCTTTCTTGTGTAAGGTTCTTATCTACATTCATGCATCTAATAAGGCCCTCTTTCTCTCTTATCCATCCCTTACCATGAACTTACTTGCTAGATTGACATTGCCATTCCTTAATTCTTCTTGCACAGTCTTCATGTTTTGTACCCGTTCCAATGAATTGAAAAAGAGTTCAAAGGCCACATCATTGCTCAATAGCTCCTCGAGCTCATCCATACTATTGAAATCCTAGTCAAAATCATGCCATAACCCTACCCATCTCCTAAGTATTTACCTCCTGCTAACAATGGATGTATACTCTGCCATGGAAAGCGCTAACGGGGTTGCTGATGGTGCTGATGTGTTGCTTGGAATAGGTGGTGGAGGACGATGACCATATCTACAAAGATCCTTGATTCAATACCTTCAATCCTTCATCCCAATGTACTCCATACGTACCCTTCTTCAGCAGAGGCAGGACCTTCACCATTCGCACCACTCCCACCTTTTCTTGCTGGTGGTCGTTGTGTAAACTCCTCGATGATATCATGAACCCATTTACCAAGTTGTACTTGTGACGCATTCCAGTGTAGAGCATCATGAACAACAACGTCAGACTCGATCCAAGGATGTCGCATACCCGTCGGTGACACGGTGATAATGGGTGGTACGTCCGGGAACTCTGGGGGAAGGTTGACGAGTAATGCTGCACTCACATTCCCCATTGGACAAGGCAACTCGTACATTTGGCCCTCGATAATCGTTGTCACGGCGGGATTGTGTGAATATAAAGAGGCGATCTGTTGCTGTTTTCTATATCAACGTGAACGACGTAGAGATGAGATAGGTGTCATTGTAAGGAACCCATTTCATAAACACGTTACACTTCTTGAAAAGTCGACATGCTGGATAACAATGACAGTGGTCGTGATAGTCTTGAATGCCGAGAGTGGTGTCAAATGGGAGGAGGAGTATTAACGTGTGTTATGTATATGCAGCTTAAAATGCCAAGATACGTAGAGTGGGTGAGAGAAGGGTCAGCTTTGGTTGTGTCTCAGGCAATTGCATAGATTGAAGAGCCGAATCTCTTTTTTGGGAAAAGGAAAATCGAATACAGTTATCTCCTCTCTCTCTCTCTCTTTCTTTCTTTCCTTCTTCCTTTCTTCTTGTCTTGCTTTACTTGCTACTTTTTCTTCTCCCTTTCTCGCATCCTCTTATCGTACAACAACAATAATTCATTATGGGCTTCCTCAGCGCTCTCGATGCTATTGCACATGGTGGTATTCAACAACCCGAATCATATGTCAAAAAGAAGAATTACACGTTCGATAAAGAACTTGGTAAGAGCATGGTTCACCCACGTTCTTTTCCCTCTCTCTCGCTCTCCCTCCTTTCCGACGATACACATGCTACATGATACAAATCCGATATTCGAGTTTGACACCTTTTATCGTTGCTAGGTCGTGGTTCTTTTGGTTCAGTGCGCAAAGCTGTGCGGATCAGTGACAAGAAAGAAGTGGCCATCAAGATCATTTCAAAAAAGACAGTCAAAGGGCATTTTGATATGGTGCTATCAGAGATGAATGTTCTCAAGGACCTGAATCATCCCAATGTGATCGGATTCTTTGACTTTTTCGAATCACGGTAAATGACAGCCTTCCTCCCCCCCTTACATTGGATCCAAATGTCTCACTTTCATCATCCATATCCTCGGGTTTTTATTAGTGACAAGTTTTACATGGTCTTTGAATTGTAAGTAATATTAGGATGAGGGTGCATATGTAGGTTGATTTGCATATGTGTAACATTTTCTTGTGTAATTAGAGCTACTGGAGGTGAACTCTTTGAACGACTCTTTGAACGTGGCAAGTTCACCGAAAAGGATGCAGTGCGTGTTTTTTCTCTCTCTCTCCCTTACTATTACTTTTTCGCGTATATACTAACGTCATCTACTTTAGGTGGTGATCGTTCGTGCTATCTTGAATGGCCTTCAATATCTTCATTCCAAGAACATTGTGCACCGGGGTAAGTCCATGGTCCAAGAATGGGAGATTTGATCTTGGCGTGTAACAATGTGCCACATGCTTTTAGATATGAAACCCGAGAATCTGCTGTTTAAAACGCCCGATGAAGATGCAGAGCTGGTCATTTGTGATTTTGGGTAGGAGTGTATATGGTATATGATTGACCCCTGGAGACAAATGGCTGAAGTCAAATCCCCATTATTATCGTTCGTTAGTATTGCAAAGCAAAGCGACGATACATCCATGCTGCATACTGTTTGTGGATCCCCCCTTTATGTTGGTAAGCCACTCTTTATCATATACAAACACTCTCACATGCTGTTCCAAAAGTCATTTACAATGTCACTCACGCATCACCTACTTGCAGCTCCTGAAGTTCTGAAACGAGAAAATTATGGTGCTCCCGTTGACTTGTGGGCGGTCGGGTAAGTTGAGCTATGACATGATCCATGGAGACACTAACAATATTTACCTTTATAGGGTGATCACCTATATGCTGTAAGCCGTCAAATTTGGGGGGATGCTATCAAAGTGACACAAACTGAGGCTAAAGAACGCATTGTCCATTTTTAGTTTGTGTGGCTATCAACCTTTCCAAGCCGAAGATCAAGTTGAGTTGATGGATGAGATTACCAATGCAAAATACGAATTTCATGAGCGATATTGGAGAAATATTTCACAAGATGGTACGTGTAAAAGAGGATTTATTTTTGGGTGCCAAGGCATTGTTGTTTCTGTAATTTCTGTCTTACAAACAACTACCTCTTCTTGATTAGCCAAAGACTTTATCCGTAAATTGTTGACGTTGGAGCCATCAGCTCGTCTTACAGCCGAAGAAGCATTGAAGGACAAGTGGATGACTGGCTTGGATGCCACCGATATTGATATCTTGCCTGCTGTACGTGAGAACTTCAACCCACGACGGACATTGAAGAATGCAGTGCGTGCTGTCAGTGCAATGAATCGTTTGAGAGCTGCAAGTATCGAAAAACGAGGTGACGGTAATGAAGAAAAGAATGTCGCACAGCTTGCTATCCTCAGAGCTATGGCCGCCAACAAAAACAAGCAGCAGCAACAACCTGCCGCTCCTGCTGCTGCCGCCGCCGCTGTTCCAGCTACTACCCAGTAATATATATTATCCTTTACTTTTCCAATTCATTGCCATCTCTTGTTTCCTTTATTCTCGCATACCATCAATATACCGATTATTACGTAGTTAGTGTTTGTGTTTATACACGTCCATCCACTTGACAGCCTATGTGAACCTCCCCCTTTTTTCCCTGTGTGCCCCGATCCATCGGCTCAGCGCGAAAATGATTAAACCGTATCGATGTGTGCAAAAGATTTATGATGAAACTGCCAAGAGCCAATAATGATGTACGAGTCTATGGAGTGGGAAGGGATCACGATCGCCGTAGATAGCATAGTATAATATCATGACAGTTGTAAGATAGGAAAAGTATCGGCTATAAAATAAGCGACCATGTCCGTCAGCTACTTGTTTGCTACATACATTGGTGCAGCACGGGTAACAACAGTGCCGCGCACTTTCCACCCCTTACCTTTTGAGGAAAGAAGAGTATCGGTCCATAGCAATCAACAATAGAACAGCTGCGAGTGCCGGTAAATCGTCTAGAACATCCATCATCGACCACGATGGGGTTTGCCATCCCAGTTGCATTACATCACGGATATAGACAATAAGACCAGGGACATTGTAAGGCATAAACGATGTCAAAAAGAGGAGAACAGCTTCTCGAATAGGATCCTATGATGATGATGATATCAATACTTTGCCCATTTTCTCCAACCTTGACATCGAAAACTTGCCTGATGACGTGCAGTGACTCCCAACCAGAAAATGTATAGACCCACAACAATCACAGGCACAGGTAATACCCGAATAAGCCCCAAAGCCATCGCTGAAGGAACCCACATCATGGATGATTGGTATTGTAAGGGCACGGGCCAAAGCAACATTCGAAACACTGCCTGCAACAAGCGTAGCACAGCCCACAGCAAACATGTGATACCTGCAGCCAAAAACAAAGATGCTGCATGTAACCACCATGCATCTCGTTGTGATAATATTCCATGTAGTGACACAACAGCAACAATACTTGGCACGTCAATCTTGAGAGCTCTCGTCAATCCGCTTACAAGGGATCCACCTATAAAGATCCATCAGCCTCGTGTCCTCATTTCCCTCAAGCACAAGCACGTATACCTTGAAGTGTTTGTTGAAGAACCATTAATGTGATCACAAAGATGTAGACAACAATGGCGGGACCCGCTCGCAGTATACATTTGCCAATGGAACCATACCAATCAACGGCCAATCCAACATGCATCGGGTAAGGAGCCCATACACGAATCTCCAATGAATGATCCATAGCTGGGTCTGCGTAAAAGTTGATATCTATCACCGAACGCTCTTTGCCAATCAATCCCACGTGAAATTTGCTCTCGTCTCCAAACGTTTGTTGAACCAGTGGGGCGAATAATGGTGGTGTGTCGCATTTCCCAGCGAATGTTAATGTGAGTTGGTATGCAAGTAATGGTTGTCGGATGGCAGGAATAGATATGGATGAGTACAGCTTGTCAAAGATGGGTATCGACACGCCTTGCATAATCACATCTATGAAATAACGTAAGTATCAGATTATCTTTGTAAAGCAATGTAAACATACCCCACATTGAATATTGCACAATCATCGATGATGCATCGTCAATGGTATCAGTCACAACGAATGTATCCTTTTGTGTCGATTGAATACCAAGATACTGCTCGGCATCCACTTGATGAAACCAAAACGATGAGCCATGGAAAGAAGAATGCGTATCGGTCGATGTCGAGGTGGGCAAGCGAATGGCTGTGTTTTTGATGCGTCGGCATTCATGCTGATCTTTTCCACAAGTCAAGAGTTGTAGATCCTCATCATTTGTAAGTACTCCCATTAGGCCCTTGCTCCGTATCAATTTCATTTGATTCGTTTCCATTGCGATAGCCGTTCGAGGATCATTCACAATAGATGCGTCTTGCACGTTGACATAGTCTAGTAACCAACATGTTAAATTGTGATTCCTTTGGCCCAAGTCATCTTCCCTCTACCTTTCAATACAGGAGTTATTGATGATGGCGCAAAATACTTTTGAAAGATTTGAATGCGATCATCGAAAGGTCGTGTTCCAGAAATGTCGTTCTTATTCGTGATTTCCACCAATGCTTTGCCGACCCTTTTGACAAGCTGGTTACACCACAGGATAGCCATATGATCACATGTCGTCCATACTTGTGGGATGGATGTCGTAAATGCAGTAAGACCACCAGGATCACTGCTCAAGCTTGCTGCATCGGAATTCACAATAGAGTCCGAGGTCCCACCGGCTAATGACATGATGGTGATGTTGGATGCGATAGGATGAATGGATGACTGATATATACGTGCAATCTTTGGGTCCAATACAATGGGCGCTTTTGCATGAGGTGAAGCGAGTGTGAGGATGGTATTGATGCTGTGTGGTTGATAATTGGCAAGTGTTGGCATCAAGCGTGCAACAATACCACCCATAGAATGACCCACAATGACCACAGAGCTGAATCGGTGCTGATAAAGAGCGAGAATATGTTGAACAACGTCATTTAAATACTCGGCTTGATCAAGTAACAGGCGACCACTGATAGCTGAAAACTCTTCATTCAAATCCACTAACAAAGAACATGATGGTTAGTACCCATCCCCTTACAAGTTGATCCATCATTTACCTGTGAAGAAGTCGAGTGAAGGTTGATATTGTGCTGTTTCACCAGCAATGGATCGCACCTGCTTGTAACTACCTGCATGACCGGGAATGAACAACGCAGGGACTCCCGTCAACTAAAATCCCAAGTCAGCTATCCACTATGCAAAAAGCCTCACTGCAAAACGCGCGTGCCTTACCTTGTTTGGATCATCCACCCCTCCTTCTCGATATAAATACATTTCATACTTGTTGGAGAGTCGTGAAGTCACTGGGAAGCGTCGAAATGAAGGCCGAGAATACGACATTTGACATGCTTGGATGTCGCGTTGATGGAATAGAAAAGAGTCTGCAATGGTGTACAGCGCTAGAATGGTGGCTGCAATCACAAGAATGACCAGTCGCCCTGGTCGTAGCTCCAGTACCATGGCGTGGGGTGAAGGAACCAAGACGAGTAATCTCGAAAGAAAAGCAAACCAGGAGCCAGGCTCACGCAAATTGATTTGTGGAAATACAAGGTATGTGTGCGTGTGTCGCATAAAGACGTGCTATTACTTTTATATCATCCCCATCACTAATACCGCATTTGGCACTGAAAGAGTATGCCTGCCGTGATAATCATCGCTGCAATATACCAAAAGATGAATAACATGTTGTATATAGCTTAATGTTAGCAAGTGAAATACATGTGCGGTAAAAAAAGACATATGGGGCAATCATAGGTGTGTAATGGTGAGGCGAAGGGAGGAGGTTGTTGTTTAGAAAGCTATTCTTAGCGACTTGGAGAACCTTTGGAGAATATTCATTGTAGACGATGGTGTGAATTGGATGAACATTGTTGTTGTCTGGGTAGCATACAATGACCTCCTTGGTTACTGAGATTCAGCTCGTCATAGGATAATCGGTAGCTCTTATGTACAAAGGACACTCCATAACCATGGTTTGCCATTGTTTCACATGGATTGTCACAAACCTTGTTTTTCTACAATCCACTTACCAGGGTGATTTAAAGGTACACGCATACGGCAACACATTTGGGTTTGGATCAATACTTTCACATTTCTAAGGATGGATCAAGTACGTTGGATGATACTGGCTGTACTTGATTGACAAGTCGCACAAAGGATGATGATAGTAGTTGCCATGGAGTACATTGGATCCACCAATCTTTCACGATTATAGCATCATGTATAGTGGTCAAATTGACAATGGACACACAAGAACACGACTCTTTTCCACACTTGCATATATCCAATTCCTTCCATCCCATATACCAAAATATCCATATTCATATCCATAGCAATTCGTATGTATTGAAGCACGTTGCTACGTGTAAATAAAGCTGCTTCTATACAATGGCTATCTGCTGTCCAGGTAAAAAAAAAAGGCTGTAAGACACGTCGCTGCAAGTAAAGAACGCTGTTGGAGACAACGGAGTAAAGCCCTTGCTATAACAATTGCTGGAATGAATGCTGTAGCCATTGGTCGTGGTAGACGAGTGTACAAGAGAACGTGCTGTGTCAATGGAAGGCGTGTGTTGTAGTGGGGTTTACACGCCATGAACTTGCAATTCAGTCAAAGACAATCGGATCAAGGTAGTTGTAGGCATGTCATGATGGGCTGAAGCAGGACAACCGTTCGCAGGTGGTAGTTGTACTTGAATGGGCCAGCAGTTGAGAATGGGAGGAAGAGGCAAGAAGCGGGAGGAGGTGGAAGAAGTGGGAAATTAAGTAGGTTGAGATGACATTTCTTTGCTTGAGCGTAGCTCATTCAAATCCTCTCGGATCAAGTAAGTTGAAGGATGGGCATGCTGGGCTGGAGCAGGACAATCGTTTGTATGCATTGGCTTGGACAACAAAGGTGAATGGGAGGAATGGATGAATGACTGGCAGTTTACAAATAACTTACCAATTTGATTCTTCTGATATTGGATGGTACTTCTGTGTTTGAGCATTTTTCAGTCAAATCCCCTCGGATCAAGAAAGTCGAAGGATGGGCATGCTGTACTGGAGCAAGACAATCGTTTGTATGCATTGGATTGGGCAACAAATGTGAACGGGAGGAATGGGTTATTATATGGCATTTTGAACTATTCCTAAATAGTGTACAAGAGTCATGCATCGCCTGTGCCAAATGACTCAAGTTACACAAACACGCCCTCTGCATCTTTTGCTCTATTATAGTCATACTACTTTACATTAAACAAAGACCACTCTTCATATAGCATCACCCTTACAGCATATGTAAAACATAAAGGTGCCTGTATCTCCAAACTTTACAATCAAACGTGGGCTCTTAAATAGATCAACGTGCTTGTCGGGGTCAAAGGAATCTTGTGTCAAAGTATGAAGTTCATCGTGGGCGATCCCAGATTTCGCAATGTCGCTACCAGCCAAACTGGATCTGGGGGTAGACCTCTTCGTTATAGGGAGGTTTGATTTGCCTCGGTTTTTATTGGGAGTATGTCGAGGAGTGATACCCCAAAGATGATACAGCAATGTGAAAATAAAGAAAACTAATTGAGAAAAAAAAAAGGATCAAACCGGATCATTGTGACTCGAAGAAGAGGCACTCCCCGATGCAAAAGGGAACGAGTCGCGGAACTTTTTTCCGTTTTGGAGAAGTGCAGCATAAAGTTTGTTGTAAGATACGCTGGTTAAGGATTCAGTAATGGCTCTTGCTTCATCGGAAATAGGGAACAGTTGATTAAGTAGTCTACGTTGGCTAGCTGTGATAGGTTTGGCGTTTGGATCGGTATTGGGCTGAGGTGGGATAAAGTCGACAATAATTTGGTCGTTGTGAGCTTCACGATTGGAAAGATCATCCGAAAGCATTGAAACATCAGAATTGTGGCTGTAGGCAGAAGAAAGTGTGGGCGAGGGAGGCGATGGTGGCAGGGGTGACTTGTTGTTGCTGGTAGGCGTGAGGGTGCGATGATTAGAGCATTTTGCTGCACGATGGCCTGGTTGACCGCATGACCAGCAAAGGCGATTGCGGCTTGGATGACTAGGACATGATGAGATAGAGTGACCGGAGCGATGACAGTGAAGGCAATGTAATGGCATTTCAGCCCATGTTGCATAAAAGAAGTCGGCGGAGTTGGGCCAAGCAATCGTGTGTGTGAGTGGGAGGAAATCGATTGAGGCTGAAACGTTTAATGTTGCGTAACCATGGCCCATAAACAAGTGGGAGTCATGGTCACGAAGAATTCCATAGTCTTGAATCTTACCAAAGGGTAAGAGTGCTTGTTGGATTCCATGTGCTAGTTTTTCACGAGATGTGAACGGCAATTTGCTGAGACGAATGTTGATGATGCGGGAGTCTTCTGCTAAAGGACGAGTGGGAATGATACGAGAGCCATCAGAAAATTGAAGACCATGTTTGCAGGCTTTTTCATACAAGGATGAGTCGTCAATGAAAAGCTCAACAATACGGCGTGAGTGATCGGAGTGTAGGCGTGCACCACAGTTATCGGGATAGCTTTCAGTTATGTGACGAAGAAGAGTTGTACGGTTTTCGTTGCGAGAAGTGAAGTCAAAAAACAAACTCGGGCATGAAGCAGGGGATCCACCAACTTTCCACACATTGGAATGTGTGGTCTTGTCAAGTGCATTGCTGGTCAAAGATTCTCGAATTGCAGTAGGTCGTCGAACGCGAGCAGCTCTCGCATAAGATGTAGGTTGGGTGCCTGTTTCCTTATCAGGCAAAACGGTAGCGTTCGGGGAAGCCATGGGTAGACCTCTTCGACGACGACGACCAAAAAAATATTTTTTGGGCTAGTTGCGACATTGAACATGAAACTTTCACACAAGGTGCTGTTGGCCAAGCCGAGCCCATTGCTGTAATAAAAACCCCACGTTTCATTGTAAAGTTTGGAGATACAGGCACCTTTATGTTTGTAAGTGTGATGCTATAAGAAGAGTGGTCTTTGTTCATTGTCAAGTAGGTGGACCCTGGCAGAGCAAAAGATGCAGAGGATCGTGTTGTGTAACACAGCTACGTTTGCATGAATGAAAGGGTCAATGTATAATTACTTTATGGATCATCTAGGAACAGGCATGTATTGCTAGCTAACGACCACTTTTATCCAATCATCATTGTTGCGAGATCCACTGCATGGGAACGATGCCCCTGCTCCAGACATTCATTTCCATGATTAAAGTAGGTTGATCCGAGCTGATTTGACTGAGCTGCGGTCAAAGAGAGATTACATCACTCTGGACATAAAGCACGCTCGATGTAGCTCAACCGATGTAATCTTGTGTGAGCGTAACTCAACCAAATCAGCTCGGATCAACCTACTTTAATCATGGAAATGAATGTCTAGAGCAGGAGCATCGTCCACCTACAATAGAAAGCACAAAAGTTGGGAATGCACAAAAGTGGCTATTAGCTGCCAATGTATGACATCAAAGTGAGAGTTGTGTACCTTTCATGCATTGTCCCTGAAGTCCTGATTTTTTAGCTGAGTTAGCCAAAGAGGTCCTTGTGCATCTTTGGCTCTCCAGGGTCCACCCACTTGACAATGAACAAAGACCACTCTTCATATAGCATCAGGCTTACAAACATAAACGTGCCTGTATCTCCAAACTTTACAGTGAAACGTGGGGTTTTTATTAGAGCAATGTGCTCGGCTTGGCCAACAGCACCTTGTGTGAAAGTTTCGCGTTCAATGTCGCAAACAGCCCAAAAAATATTTTTTGGTCGTCGTCATCGAAGAGGTCGACCCCAAGATCCAGTTTGGCTGGTAGCGACATTGCGAAATCTGGGATTGGCAAGCTTGATCGTGAAACTGGCACACAAGGTGCTGTTGGCCACGCCGAGCACATTGCTCTAATAAAGACCCCACGTTTCATTGTGAAATCTTGAGATATGGCTGTCTTTATGTTTTCACTATGCTGTAAGCGTGATGCTATATGAAGAGTGGTCTTTGTTCATTGTCAAGTAGCTAGACCCTGATACAGCAAAAGATGCAGATGGGCGTGTTTGTGCAATTAAGCCGGGAGGGCGGGACTTGACAAGAGTCAATCTTATTGGTGAAGATTGCATAATGGTTCCTGCCCCTATAGTAAGGTGTGCCTATGAAAGACCGTATGGAAACATGGTATACTTAACAAGCCAAAATAATCAGTGCATCCGACAGTATTTGTGCGAAAGGGTGAGAGGAGGATGGTATTGTTTGTCTCCAGGGACCGTACTCATTCAAGATTATACATACAAGACAGCGGCACATGCTGAAAGTTGTCAAAGCATATGCATGTACTCGTTTCACGTTGTTTCAAAGCTCACTCTTTCCTAAACGTAATGACATAAGCTCTCAATAGATCAATCTTCTGTAACAAGCTCTATTGTTGGGTACCATTACTATGTGTTTATTATCTTTGAAAATACAAGCGTCTATTTAAACTTGTGTACAATCCTGAGAACGGCCATTGCCTATCGTATATCAGCATACGAGCAAGGAAGCTTTAACGAATGTAGTGTGATGAAAGGAACAAAGGTGTATCGATGCAATGATGTATATCATCTTATCTCGTTTTCCAATCTTCATGGTTCTATCCTCCCTTCATTCCGGAAACCAATCAAGTGGGTCATATAGAATCAGTGGGTGTCATTGTGTCATTGTATCCTTGGTTGCTGACACCATAAACACCTCCATCCATGATTGCAAACTAGTTGCTGTGCGTGCCTTGACTCCAATACCCAATATCATCCATGGCGACAGCCCACCTTTCCTCAAAGATATAAGCCCTCTCATCCTTGCCATCCAATCCATCATTATCCACAGCCCCATCCACGTAACATGGTCCATCCTTCCTGATGGCGACGTGTCAAGTAACCAAAAGGACATCAGGATCCCCTCTCACAGTGCTTGATTGCATCCGTCCACCCACCCATCCATACCCATTGCAACTCCAACATGTTGATACAAAGGACCCCTGTGGTCGCTTCCCCCTTTCCATCCGGCTGTTGGTCAATCTCTTTCTTGGTCATTTTCTATCGCAGCTCAACCAGATGAAGAATGCTTGTATTGGGTAATAGTAGTTGACGGTTGAAATGGCATCTTCCATAAGGATCCGTATGTATTGAAGCAAGTTGCTACACGTAAATAAAGCTGCTTCTATACAATGGCTATCTGCTGTTCACGTAAAAAAGGCTGTAAGACACGTCGCTGCAAGTAAAGAACGCTGTTTGATACAATGGAGTAAAGCCCTTGCTCATAGCAATTGCTGGAATGAATGCTGTAGCCATTGGTCGTGGTAGACGAGTGTACAAGAGAAGGTGCTGTGTCAATGGAAGGCGTGTTTTGTAGTGGGGTGCACGAGCCATGGAGTTGCCATTCGGTCAAAGACAATCGGATCAAGAGGGTTGTGGGATCGACATGATGGGTTGAAGGAGGACAATCGTTCACAGGTGGTAGTTGTACTTGAATGGGCCAACGGCTCAAGTAGGAGGAAGAGGGAAGAAGCTGAGAGTGGAGAAGTGGAAATTAAGTAGGTTAGGCACTGCCGCACCAAATCCATCACACTGTACATCAATCCTTGATAGTGAGATTGCCACTCTCGAACCTAAAACTTTCACTCAAGATGCTCTTGGGCATGCTGATCAACATGGTCTTAAAAAAGACCTCATGTTCATTAGAAAATATTGAATGGGACGGTGCAATGTGGGTTTACTATGTAAGTCGGAAATGGAGGTCAGCCCCGGATTCATGATTATGGAAATACTATGTATTATCTTGGGATTCCCCATTTCGAACCTAAAACTTTGTCAGAAGATTCGCTGCAACATGCTGATCAACTTCATTCATTTAAAAGTCGCAGACTTCATTGTGAAGATTCAAAATGCGGGGCGCCCCAAATGGTGGATGATGGGAACAAAAGAGCGGACGGCCCACCGCCCCGAAGTTGCCCACTTCCAATTTGAAATTGGTTACAAGGGTGCTCTCGAGCATGCTGATCAACTTTTTCATAATAAAGACCTCATGCTTCATTCGAAAATTTGGAATGGGAGCGTCCAAAAGTTTGAAAGACGGAGACATTCGCAGGGTCTGTCTTTTAAGAATTAACATGTTTGCTGTTTTGGCGTAGCTCAGTCAAATCGTCTCGAATCAAGACAATTGAAAGATGGAAATGATGGGCTGGAGCAGGAGAATCGTTCACATGCAGTGGAATGGGCAACAGTTGCAAATGGGAGGAATGGGCTGTTAGGTGGTAGTTTATGAACTATCAATCAAGGTTTACAAGCAAAGCGAATTGAGGCCGCTAGTCTTTATTTTCTACGTTAGGACATTTGATGCATATAGAACAATAACAGCATAATGACTAAGAATGTACGCTATGTACTAAAAGTAGCAAATGCATGCTGCGGTAAGGTGGATGTCGCAGCAATAAACCAATTTCCTGGATCTCAGCAAGTATAAAGCAAGCAGCAGCCTTTCTTTTCGTGTTCCAACACCACTCCAAACTATGCTCGACATTGACAAGCTCAAACAACGTCCAATCAGCGTGTTTCATATACCACTCGAGCTTCTCAACGATTTACGGCCTACCGATTACAATGCCTCGGAGACACCTTCGTCAGTTGATCTCACCGCCAACAAGCTGGAACGATTAGAGCTTGAACAGTCAACCAAAGAACAAGAGGATGGATCCTTGACATGTCGCACCTGCAATATCACATTTCCACCAACCGATCGGCAGGAGCATCGCGCTCACTTTGCAACTGATTGGCATCGTTACAATATCAAGCGCAAGTTGACTTTGGGTCTTGAACCTGTCAACGCGACAGACTTTGAGAACATGCTAGCAGGTACGTTTGTAGGATAAAAGTAAACGCACTTGTATACTTATACACATTGTAGATATTGCCGAAAGCATCTCTGGATCTGAAAGTGATGAAACGGATGAGGAGGATCAAGAGCAGCAGGAGGAGGATGATGTCAAGGATTTGGTTGCCAAGCAAGCAGCACAAGCAGAAGCATCAGCAATGATTGAAGATGAACAACAATCCAACACTGTTTTATCATCCTTTGAGAAAAAGACACAAGCATTAGCCTGGTTCCAAGCCAATACTTTGTCGCCTTCAGTACATTTCGGTATCTATCGACGACTTACCGATTCATTGGATGGTCTCAAGCAACTACAGAACGCGCCAAAGTCACGTCTATGGACCATCATCATGGTGGGTGGTGGCCATTTTGCAGCTGGTGTTGTGGATGTCAACAAGAGTCTTCAATATGGAATGCAATATGGTGGATTGGATGTCAATCAAGTCAAAATGGTGGTACACAAGACTTTTCATCGTTATACCAGTAAGTCGATAACATAGCAGGAGGATGGAAGGAGAGCTTTACTTATTACTTTCATCATTCATTACATAGCACGTCGCAAACAGGGTGGATCACAATCAGCCAATGATAATGCCAAAGGAGCTGCTAATTCGGCAGGTGCCATGATTCGTCGATACAATGAGCAGATGCTTCAGCAGGAGATTCGTGAATTACTATCGCAGTGGAAGGATTATGTCAACACCAGTGAGCAAGTGCTTGTACATGCACCCAGCAACAATCGCAAGATCGTCTATGGTTATGAAGGTGCTATCCTTACTCGGGACAATTCATCCACGATTCCTTTCTCAACACGACGACCTACATTGAATGAGATACGACGAGTGTTTATTGAGATGACGACATTAAAGATCACCAAAGTGGATGTGGATGCGATTCAAGCACAACGGCAAAAGGCGGCTGAAAAACAAGAGCGTGCTCGTCAACAATTGGAGAAATCTCGATTGATGGATAGCAGCAAAAAGACGACCGAGAAGCCCAAAATGGCACCTGAAGTGGAGAAATTGATATCACTCACGAGGCAAGGCAAAGAGCAGGTGGTCTTGACGCATGTGCGCAAACACGAGGAGCTGCTTCTACCCATAACTCGTGGAAAATTAACATCCCAACTTGTTCCTGAACAAGAAGAAATATTACGCCGGTTCCCAAGCATCTTGCATTTAGCTGCTCATGGTGGTCATGCTGCTCTTGTTTCCCTTCTCTTACGCGATCTTCAAGTTGACCCAACGATTGAGAATGAGCTTGGAAAAACAGCTTACGAAGTGGCGAGGGAAAAGGATACGAGGAATGCTTTTCGACGTTGTATGCATGATATACCCGACATGTGTGATTGGCTCAACGCAGCTCGAGTCCCAAGTCCATTATCACCCGAGGCTGAGCTCGAGATCCTAGAAAGGGACAAGCAACGCAAGGAGCGTGAATTGGAACGACGTCGCATGATAGAGGAAGAACGTAGAAAACGTGATGATGAAAGGATTCAACAAGAGGAGGCAAAAGCTGCAGCATTACGACAACAACGACAAAAGAGTAATGCAACGAGTGCTGGTGGTGGTGGTGCAAGGACATTAGGTGGAGGCAACAATTTGCGGACAACGGAAATGAACATGGCCAGTATGACACCCGAGGCACGTATGCGATTAGAAAGGGAAATGCGTGCTAGAGCTGCAGAAGAACGTATGAGGCGTTTGCAAGGGAAATAAACTAACTTGTCGATCAACCTCCTGTTATACGTTGGTGTGCCACCTTTCTCATGAGATTTGTATACAAGGGAGAGAGTATGGATAAGATGATAAATAGAATATGAGGAGGCGAAAAGGGGGTGGAGAAAGAGAGAAAAAGACTGAAAGGAGTGAGATCTGGCCTGCCACCATGATTTACACGCTCTCTTTATTGTTGGTATTCCCTAGGAGACTTGACTATTTTAATTGGGGAGCAAGAAGGAGAGGTTGGGTAAGAACATACTTCTTGAGTCAGATTGAGCCGCCCACCGGAGTTTGGGATTCCTTTGTTGCATAATTGACCACAACAATCACTGTCAGCTCTTGACATGTGTCATATACAAATACATCCAGTGACAGCTTTTATCATTTTTTGATCCAAATCAATATCGTTTCCTATAAAATGAGATGGGTCAGCAATGTCATTCTTAAAGAGCAGCTTTATGCGAGAGGGTGTGTGCTGGCTGATACAACAATGACAAGAAGGAGCTATAATGCGTTGCTACACACGGCGACTTTCCTTGTGAAGAGGTGTAATGATTCAGGTTAGCAGTGAACAACAACATCCATGACCACTGCTTTAGTTTGCAGCTGTCCATGCATGCTCGCTTTCGATCACGCGCAAGGTTGGTATGCTCCGTCAAGGCGTAAACGACCTCGAGAAAGTGAAGGCACTGGGTTGGACAACTATACTATTCCTTTTGTGTGCTAAGATCGTTGCCTTATAGGATCTTTTGGGAGCATGCTTGACTGACAACAATTCTCTTTGGAACTTAAAGATGCATGAAAAGATACAATCATATGATAGCCGTAGCCATAATACCCCATCTCCCTCGTTCTTTGGCGTAGGTTTAATAGATGTCTTAGATACATACGTAGGTCTTGCCAATCCCCATCGTTAGCGAGGATCCATTGTGATACTACCTTTAATACAAGAAGCGGTTGTAAACACCGAAATAGGAAATCATTTACATATTGGAGATAACGCTTTCTTCTGTCATGGATGATTAACGTTACCTGTATCTCACATAGGAAAAACTGGATTAGCTCCCCACCCCCCAGAACCACTGTACTTGGGAATTGCAAGGGTGGAAAAGATAATAGTGATGCAAATGCATAGGTGTAACGGTCCAATTGTAGCATTCGTTAATATTACTCGCGAGGCATTTACCTATATTGGTTTATGTTTGCTGCACCAACTCCGTTTAATGATTGCATCGCAATGTAAGAAAAGAGTTTAGATATCCTCACATACACATACACACATAACCATACACACGCACATACATACACCAAGGGGTTGAAAAAGGAGAGAGGAGAACAGAGATGGGCGAGACAAATGGAGAACAAGTGTACTTGTGGATTGTCTGTGTTGATTGTTTTTGTTCCTTGATTTTTTAGCAGAGTTAAAGTTTGCTTGACAGGGTAATATGAAGATCAAAAACGTATCTGGGGTTTGCATACAAAGCCGTTTTGCCAGCAATAGGATCTTGTGTGTGCGTATGTGTGTGTGAATATGTTAAATTGAATTGTGCAACCCTACTTTAGGCGGCGACAAGAGATAACACGACACCATGGCCACAAATGTGATATGCAAACCACCACTGATGCCCAAATGGAGAATAAAAGGGCAAGTTCTCCATGTGATCCCGTCAATGAGCGGCGACCTAGAATAACAAGCTTATAATAAGGACAATCTACGCTGATGCTTGTTATCTAAGGAGATTCTGCAAAGCAGTATTGCCAACGGATGGATTCACATTTACGTACAAGAAGAACAAAAGGGGGTGGTTGATGATGATGGGTGGTTGACGGGGAGCCAAGAGAAGTGAAAAAGGGGAAAGGAAATAGAGGAACGGCAGTATAGATCAAAACATGCACACATACATACTCACACATACATATTATTACAGAGGCTGCTGTGTGTTAAGGGAGGCCATTGTTGTTCTTTTTTGTATAATAGTAAAAGGAGGGGGCAAAAAGAGGGATGATTGATTGATGATGGCAGTTTTGACATGATGATCAACAAAGAAAATGATGGGTAAATTGACATTGACACAACAAGTTGTTATACAGCAAATTGGTCCAAGCGACTAAATAGACAGCCCGCGTATGTTGTGCTTTGTGGTACTGAAAGGAAAAAAATTGCGTTCCTTGGAATCCACCTTGTTGGTAGAAATAAGTGATTTGGCGGGAATAAAAGGAGGAAAGGTAAGCTCCTCTCTCATTCGACTGGAAATAGTAGTGGGATCAAATCGTTTCACGCAATCCTCAAAGATAAAAAGTGCGGTGTGCAACCCCTTCTTCTTTCCTCTTTTTTCTCTCTCAACCCCACCCACTCTTTGTACTCTTTTTTATTGCTTATTGTTGGCACAGTACCAACGATAACACACAAAAACATATGCCACCATCAACCACATTGTCCCCGACACCATCGTTTCATAGCATGGATGAATACCTTCGGCCATCTACCACTACGCTCTGTGATCAAGATAAAAATGTGCTACCACCAAGCGCTCGTGAATGTCTTGTCGACTTAATACAACAAGTTGAGCATGACAATTTGCGGCAGGTCCTAAAAATTGAGCTCAATCGATTATTGACGGACCATGAACGTATCGTGACAATGCTACAACAACGAACACACATGCTTGAGCAAGATAATGAGCAGCTGCGAGGGCTTAACAGCGAGCATCAACGGCGATATGAGAAAGCAGTGCGTGAGATGCAATTCTTTAAAAAGAAAGCCGACTACCTTAGTAAACAGCAGCAATCACCCAGCATTGCTCATTCAAGTAGCAACACAAGCAACTCAACAGCATCAAGGACGAGAAGTCATTCAAGTGCATCAGAAACACGTAGTGAAATTTCAGCTATTTCATCAAGTGCACCACTTCCACCACCACATGCAGCACCACCTCTTCCTCCTCCTCCACCTCCGCAGCAACAACCTTTACCACCAACACCAGCGTCCACATCTACTTCAGCTATCAATTATCCATTGACACCAACGAGTCCACAGCCTTCAGTTGTATCAGAAAGAGAAGAATATGATTCGCTTCGACCATTGCCACATAGCAGTAGTAGCATGCCTTCACGATCGTCCTCAACATCGTCATCCAATGCGCATCACTATCAACAATCCTTTTGGAATGCACCTCCATTGCCGTCCATGTCTTCTGTAATGTCTTCGTCGACAGCCACCTCATCGTTGGCTGATAATGTACGACAACCACCCAATTACCCTGTGCGACATGCAGGTACCAACAGCATCTATAGCGTTGGTAGTGATGTATCATATCCCACTCCACAATCATCCACTGAAGCAGCTCCTCATCCTTCTTTGCCACAACACCCCAATGGTCAACAAAAGCGATCATGGCAAAACTTACGTCAAAACCCCTCGGTCCATTCATCCTACTCTTCTCCTTCCACCACCACTACTGCTACAACTACAACTACTACAACGGGTGGTGGTGGTGGTGGTGGTGGTGGCCCTGTTTCCTCTGCCGCCACTTCAGTTTATTCAGTACCAATGACTCCTGTACGATCGACCATTTCCACGAATGGCTATACTGGTTCATGCATGATTCAACAACGACGTGTTGACCCCCTCATGTTTGGTGGATCCGATGGCCTTTGGGATACCATTTCCAAAAGCCAAGGAAGCGATGCTACTGTTGAAAAGATCATTAGGTTAGTTGTCATCATCGTGTTGCTTGGTTACTTTTTCCTGTTGATTGACAAATGTTGCTTGTTTTCACAAATGTATAGCAACTTTTTACGTCGTGGTGGATCACCCAACACAGCTAAACAGTCTCCTACCTGCCACGATGTCAAGTATGGATATGGTATGATCCATGCTCTTATTGTCACCAAGGCCCCTGGAGCACTTGATCTTCTCCTACAGCAAGGAGCCAACCCCAATGCATTAACATTGAGTGAAGCGGATGAGAACAAGGTAACTATTACTCATGCAAGGAGTCGTTTGTTTTATTTATTGATCTCTTGTTTGATAGGTCACACCATGTTATCTTGCTGCTCGTGTCGGTTGGCTTGCCGGTTTGCAAAAAGTGGTTCAAGCTGGTGGTGATTTGATCAATGCAAGAGGTGAAGGACCCAAAAAGAAGACGGCTTTGCATACAGCTGCCGAGCATTGTCATGCTGCTGTGGTTGAATTCATTGTCGGATATACACAAGGTGCATTGAACCATGAAGTGGATGCTCAAGGTATGGGTTTTTTTTGTCTCTTACCCCTTTTTTCTCTTACACCTCCTTATTGACGTCAACATTGTGTGTAGGAGCCACTGCTTTACATTATGCTTGTTTATCGGGCCATACTGATCTTGTTGGCTTTTTGGTTCGATCATGTCGTATTCCACCAACACAAGGCACCAACCGTGGAGAACAGCCGATTCATTGGGCTGCACGAGCAGGTCGTTTGGAAGTGGTGGCTCTCCTCATTGAGCGGTTTAATTGTGATTACAATGCCTATGTAACCAAACGTGTGCCGAGTCCATTGGATATAGCCAAAACAGGAGGTCACAAACGCTTGGTGGATTACCTCAAAGGATTGGGAGCATTGTCATCCAAAAAGTTGGACAAAAAACACAAGAATGACAAATCCAAGAAGGCTACCGTGGAGAATGCCCTTGCACGGAACGGCCTGTTTGCGGATGATGATGATGACCCAATCTAAAACCATCATTGTCTCTCTTTCTCTCTCTCCTATGTAGTACAACTTCTCCTGCAAAAACAACAACAACAACAACAACACAATCTCGCGCGTTCATCACATTCACTCCCATTTTTTCTTTCTTCACCTTCTTTTCTCCCATTGTCGTTGACGACCATGGCACCTCTACCTCCACAATCAATTGCACAAGCTGCCATTTGATATACTTGTTTAATCTGTGTACACATTTTTATTTCTCTCACCACACCCAACATTCATTCACATCCTGCAGCAGCACCACCACCAGCAGCAATAATCACCATTCATTCTTTCTCATGCACAATATCTCACATTCGTATATCTCCTGTTGCTTGTCACTACTCTTCTTTTCTTAGCCATCATGTGTATTAAGATTAAAAATCCTGATCAGCTGCTCTTGCATCCAAAACTCGCATACATATACAAAAAGCCCCATTATTATTGATGCACCTAATGCATATCTCCATATTGGATGGATCGTCCCTAGGCATATGTATTAATGGTAGTAGATCAATTGTATTGTATCCTTTAGTGTTGTGGACAACCAATAATGGCATGTGGTGCCTGAATGCAATAACTACGTACATACGTAGAGATGATCACCACCTCTAATTTCATTGTATCGACGATTAATCTAGACTCAAAAAGGATGCGGATGATGATGATGAGATCGACAACGTGATGGCGATACATTACATTTTTGTTGCAGATCCCCGGGTTTCAATGTTTGTTGTTGTGCAAAAGGGGCGTAGATACTCTGTAAATGTTTGGATTCTTATACCACCAAATACAACCATCACCACCACCACAAATACAGGTACCACCATACACGTCATTCATAAGCGGGGAAATAGTACATATGTAATAGCAGCAGTAAAAGGAGAAGGAGGAAGAAGGGATGTGATGATGATGTGAGGAATGTTAATCAGCCACCACCTACTCACCTGTGCATAGATTATTATGCGTGATTAGGGATAGCAACGAGTAGTAGTAGTGGTAGAAGCTACCCTGAATACATAACAACGACGTAAGAGAATTGGGCTCGGAATTGATTTTAAGATACGATCGGCATATTGGTGGAAGGTAGTTACAGGATCAACATTGATTATACACAACCAATAACTTTATCATCCGATGGATGCATTTTGGTGTCAAACGTATTTACCATTTTAGTTGGGTTATGTGAGTGTGCGTCGGCATGTTAGTCCCTAGTTTCCGATGCTCGTGGGTGGAGTTGGATGAAGCACGCGTTTGTGTAATTAAAAGCTCGTACGCTTGTGATGAAGATGAAGATGTGTGGGTTTGTGGGTGTATGTTGTGTGCCTATGTAATAGGTCTGTGTGCCTCTTTCTCTCTTTCCAATTCATCTTCTTTCTTCTTTTTTCTTTCTACTCTCTTTATTCCATTATACATACATACATACATACACATACCCTCTCTCTCTTTCTCTCTCTTTCATACACCACCAACCCCCTTCTTTTACTCTCTTCCTCTTCCTCTTTCTCTCTCATTCCTTTGATCGTGATGCCATTACGGGCTGTCGCCGATCAGCTTCGATACAAGTTACGGCGACGACCTTCCACCTTTTTACATGGAAAGCAACATGGGATCGCTCCACCATCGCCACCCATCACTGAGGAATTGCCCAGTCCACGATACGCTCCTGTTTCATCGAAGCGTGCCAGTTCTCATCGCCACAGTGAAGATACCCCTGCGTCGCCACCAGCAGCAGTGGACACAACAGCGGCACCAACACCTCCTTTAAAGTCACCTTCTAGGAGACATCATGGACACAAGCAGCCAAAAAAAGAATATCCTCCCTCTTCAGATACGCTTGTTCATGGTATTGGCGACTATCATTTCGTTGAGCAGATTGGACATGGCAAGTTTAGTAAAGTATGGTTGGCTCGACATTTCAAGTCGGGTGATCAAGTCGCTATCAAGGTAAGTTGCATCCCTTCTCTTATAGATGATCATGATGATACTGATAACCGATGTGATGAAACAATTAGATTATTGACAAGCGAGCCCACGAATATAGAGTCATGTCTCGATTGGTGAGAGAGGTGGCACTCATGGAAATCTTGGATCACAAGAACATCATTCACCTGTATGAAACATATGAGACGGCGGACTCCCTTTACATTGTCATGGAATACGTTCCTGGTGTCAATCTCGACGAGCATCTCAAACAATCCAATGGCCATTTATCAGAAGAAGAAGCAAGGCATGTCTTTCGCCAATTGGTGGCTGCTGTGGATTATTGTCATCGGCATTGGGTGGTGCATCGTGATATCAAGGTATGCTATCGCTCTTTTTCTATTGTTGGGATATATTGCGGCGCGTGCGTACTTGCATTTCAAAGGAGAGGGGAGAGAAAGGGAGACAAAAAGCATGTTTACTAACGACACGTGTATGATTCTTTGTATGCTGCATTAGACACCCAATGTATTATTGATGCCGGGTGGTGAGATCCGTTTGGCCGATTTTGGATTAGGCAATCGGTACGGGCCGCATCAACGATTAAAGACCCTTTGTGGTAAGGTTTTATTTGTTGTCACATTCTTTGGTCGGAAATGAAAACGAGGAGAAACACTAATATGTACGTCTATGCAGGGTCCATGCTTTATTACAGTCCAGAAATCTTTACGGGTCAACGATATACTGGTCCTGAGGTGGATTGTTGGTGCTTGGGTGTATCGCTTTTTCGAATGACTGCTGGATTTGAGCCGTTTGGTCATGCTCGTGGTATGTTAAAAAGGGTACCCATTTTGTCTGATGCACATTAACCTGGGAACTTTTTTAGATCAAGAACAACTCAAAAAGTATGTGGTAAGCGGGAATTATCCTATGCCAGAGAATCTCAGTTCTGGCCTCCAGGCAACCATTCGCAAGTGTCTCACCGTGGATCGCCGGAAGCGTATGGGAGTACGACAAGCTCTCAAAGATGACCCTTGGTTGAATGATTATGGCCGACTTGAAGATCTCTTTGAGCATGAAGATCACATGAGTAGTGATGATAAGGATACAACGGCAAAATTGGAACGAGAACGTATACGGCAACGGTACCTGAGAGATCTCGAAGAGGAAAAAAGCCGTGGACGCCATGTCAGAAAGACGATCCTGTATCACCCTATCAGCCCATCAATTTATTTCACCAGCCGATCTGTGCAATACACGCCGTACTCAAAACGCGACCATATTGTGCAATCACAAGAGATGTTACAAAAGCAGCTGATCAAGCAAGTGCGTGGTGAATTACAACAAGCACAATTACATCCATTATCAGCAGGTCATGATATGCAATCACCTATTCATCGACTATTACGCAAACTTAAAGTGTCGACGACTACTAATGGCACATCCGGAACCGAGCCGACAAAACGATTGAAAAAGACCGCCTCCACACTCAGCCTTTCACAATTGTATCAGCGTGTTGCCAAAGATCAAATCACCTATTACACCTTACAACCAGACATTTACAAACAACAACAACAACAGCCACACGACCACGCAGGCGTGGTGCCTCTATCGCGTGAAGAAACACTTGTACAGCTTGTGAGGTCGGCATGTGGATTGCTTGGGATTGTGTATCGACACGACACTCCGCTACGATTGGTGTGCGTAATGAACATGCAACGTATCACCACGCCACAAAGTGCTTCGAATGCTTTCTATGGAGGAGACCAACAACAGCAACAACAGCGTCACCAAATTAAAGCAAGCAACTCAACACCCATGTTGAATCAGCAACACGATGCTCAGCGTAGTGGATCATTTGCAACGATGGATGGTACTACGGGTGGCAAAAGCAGCTTATTGAGTAATGCAAGTACACGGACGAGTAGTCGATGGAGCAGAGCTATCAAACGCCTATCATCACCCTTTACCCATAATCCCGATGAAACCGTCATGATGCCATGGTCACAATCCTTTCACTTTCAATCCTCGATGGCCAATAGTACGCAATTCCGTTACCCACAGCAACAACATACGATGCCACAATCCTCATCCAATACTCCTCCTCCACCACCTCCGCTACAACATGCGTCATTTTCAGAACCTGATCAAGACAATGAACAGCATACTACGGCCATATTTGCTATCGAGGCATTTGCATCATCAGAGGATGGCACGGTGGTAGGATTGCGGTTTTCTAAAATGGATGGCTCCAACAAAGTGTTCAAGTATGCCAAGGGCTGGGTCACTGGTGTTCTTGCCTATCATGTACAAGTGCCTTTGTGATGAGTTTTTTTTTTTACCCCCACCCCATCCCACCCAACTAATTTTGTATACCACACATACACACAATTTCACTTTCATTATATCCTTTGTATGTATCTCTGGTTGTAATTGTAGCTCATGTTCTTTATGGTTTTGATTTTCTCTTTTATTTGGATGCACAAATATACGTCAGCTTACACGTAAAACTCGCTCTTGTGTGTATATATGGAATTATGGGGTATAGAGAGAGAAGCATGGGAATGGTACGTTACGGTGTTACAGGATACTTTTTTTTTTGTAGTCAGTCCCTTGCATGAGCTGTTCTTGCTAATCTTGAAGACTCAAACTTGCCATCCATCATGGTGCTTGAATCCAATTCATCCTCATTCAGTGTTTCAAGCGTATAACCCTGCCAATCGCAATTATGTACCTTGTGATTAATTTCTTGCTTCCAATCCTGCTCCATCTTGTAGGCCGTATATCCCTTCCATTCCTCTTCTTCCTCAGAGCTCTCTTCTGATTGCGTCGATGGGCTGGGGTATCCATTCCAAATTTCATCTTCATCATCATCCGATATCGTTGTCTTGGTTTCTCCTTTACGCTCATAATACATGTATCCATGCCATTGTTCTTCGGGATCTTCTTCGGATGAAGTAGTTGGCGTTGCAATAGCTGCAGTGGAGGATGATACGAGTGTCTTGTTGGATGGTACAAACTCTGGAGCAGTAGGAGAAAGACGTGATTTTTTGATAGCAGTGGATGTGGCTGATTGTGTCGAGGATGATGAATCGTTGGTAGTAGTGGTGGCGGTAGTAGTGGATGTTGCTTTTGTCTCAGGTGGATCATTTGCTTTGAGTTGTTGTTGCTTCTCTGGAGTGATGTCTTTTGTATCTTCATCCGAGTTGCTGGCACTTGGTGGTTGTGGTGTTGTTGTTGATTCAATCTCGATATGGAATTCTTGTTCAAACATGAAATCTTCATCCTCCTCCTCTTCTTCATCATAGGCCAATGGTAGTTCATCCTTTGCTAATGGCTTGACTTCAAGAGACTCTTGCACAAGTTGCTGTTTATCAAGATACGCACGAGAAACGAGCCAGTGATACACGACCAGGTCACCGGGCACAAGGCGATTGAGATCGGTAGGTGGGACAATGGTGGATCGGAGCCCTTCAACATGCACTGGTTTAAGTGACACATGCCTACCGGTTTCTGTTGTCGTTGTTCCCATCACCAAACCACCTTGTTGGCATGTATTCAAACAATCCACCACTTTGGCAAGTTTACGTGCACCAGGAGCCGATAATACTGCCGATGTTACTGCTGCATACTCTTTGATGATGGATCGGATGGATGCAAAATGGGGCAAAAGCCAAGGAATCACCAAAGTAGCTGATGAGGATTGTTGAAAGAGATCAAGGGTGTTTTTGAGCCATGTGTGATAAGCTTGGTAACCGTTGCTAGGTGAAACGAGATGAAGCAAGTCGTTGTACATGTCTCTTGTTCTTGCAGGGCAACCTCGCCATAACTTGCGTAGTCGACGTACTTCTGGAAATGCCAATGCCTTCATGATAGCAGCAAAACCTGAAAAGTCGCGATAGGCATGAACCAGCAAGTAAGCCACTTGAACCCAATGAGTGATAAGCTGATGGTGTTGGTTGACAAAAGGTGGCACAACGGAAGACGCCGGCGTCAGCTCCGACCCAACGATAAGTTGGTGTGCAAGGTTATGAGTGAGATATCGGCCAAAGTCATCCAATCCATCAAGACGTGTCCTGCTTTTATCCAAATGACAAAGCCACCGTTTATCAAGTATTGCTCGTTGGAATAGTTGGCAATTCACTGCAGCCACCTGCTTAGCGAGCACATTGGGATCCCAATTCAACGCCGTTGCAAATGCCACACTCTCCATGTCGTGTTCCAAGGTTTCCATACGTCGACGTTCCAACTTTGTATCTTCTGCAAGTCGTCGTAAACTATCCACATGTTGTTTTTGTTGCTTTGCCTGTGATAGCTTTTCAGTGGCTTCTGAATAGGCTTGCTTGGCTTGAATGGATGCCTTGACAAGTGGGGATATGGGTACAAGTGGGATGCATTTACGTCGACGAGTATTGCTATTGGTCATGTTGAAAAGAACAAAAAGGAAGGAAAGGGAAAAAAAGGAATCGGGAATGCCGGAACATGTCCGTGAGGGATTAAATAGTGCACTTATGCACAGACGGAAAGCCAAATGCGTGTGTGTGTGTGTGGGTGTGAGTGTGTGGTGTACCAAAGTAAGAGGAGGAGGAGATAGAGAGATAGAGAGAACCAAGGACATTACACAAGAACAGCAACAGACGTGTGTGTGCAACCATGAAAAGTAGCACTCGAATGATTGGGCCCGACCCTGATCTGGAGCAAGAAAAAACAAGGGGAGCACCCGCATCATCTTGTTTCCATGCTTCAGCTTGCATTTTATGTGTATTCGATTCCCCCATTCACCTTTTAACACGCATTGCACTACACACAAATAGCTTATCTAAAATGATATCCCTCTCGCTCTCTCGCTCTCTCGCTCTTATCCTTATGCACGTCATTAATACAACTATGCTCATCAGCCTTATCGTACTTGCATTTTTTGGTGCTGTTGTGATACTACGTGTTGCTGCATATGCATGCACCGTAGATGGAAAAGATGCCATACGCATTAGTTGCGTAACTTGATATATGCCTATTTAAGCGCTATGCAATGTATCCAAGGAATGCAGAATATCCCCACCAGTGCAATGGCTATTACACTTGTTGACCTTTCACATCGGCTTTATTATCCCCTGCATGTGTAACAAGGCCAAGAAGTTTGCAATTTCAGGTACACCAAGTGATCCACCCCCGGGTAGTTGAGTAATACCCGGTCTGGACCTCACTTTTTGTTATTGTTGATCGCCCAATGCTCTGATCGCCCATCATCCTCATGCCACAAGAAAGTTGCTGTTTGTTTTTCTTTCTCAAACACACCACATAAATATTTGGGATAGGGTGCAAATATGGGAGGTTGTTTCATTATCGAATTGTAGAAGGTCCATACACACTATAGAGCACATCACCACTGCATCCTACATAGCGTGATGATGGGTGAGGTAGCACCAAAACTCATATAACATCCCTATCCCTGAAACTTGTTTGCACGTTGTAGCCCGGTGGATCAGGCATAATACAGTTGTTGCCAGCTGCTGTTACAACTGTTACAATTTTGGTTTCTGAGTTGAGGCTTTTGGCTTCCAACAATCATATTCATGCAACATGGAATTCGTGCAACATGATGGCGGTGAATGATCGTCAATAGGTTTCATTAATGAAATACCTCTTCCATGTCAACCATTGTGCGGCTCACATGCCAAGCTTGTGGTCAAAGTGATATTGAATACTGGAAGTGGATCATTACTTGCATCAATGTAATACACTAACCACTCATCCATCGATATGATTGAATGCTTGATCCTCAATGATACGTATGCACTTGCACAAGCGTGGTAGTCACGTGTTATTCCTTATGCCTACGCAAGCATTCAAACCAAACTCCCATTGAAACAACACTTGAAAGTATCATCAGCTGATACGACATCGATTTCCTCATGGTATGAGCCACCGTGGTTAATGATCAGCATACCCTGTTTCATTACGTTTACGGTTTACCCAACAATGGAAGCATCAGCTTTCTCCCCACGAGCTCTATGCATTGCCTCATTCATTTAGGAAATTAAAAAACGTTGTGTAATAGGGCACACTTTGAGCGTATGGAGATCAAGGAGTCGGTGTAACTAGCCTAGATCCTTTAATCAAGCCATTCTCTTGTTATCTTGGATTCATGGGAAAACGATGCTCTACATAGCAGCTGCTCATTTTATGATTCCAGCATGCACAAATGCATTCTCGGTTACGCTTGCATTAAAAATGGTGAGGCTATGCTTTTACAAATGGACCAAAATGTTGTCGTTATTGGGTCGCTGTCGTCAACATTGCTGTCAGCATGACCGATCCTGCCCACTAGCTTACGGCATATAGCCAGCAGAGCCGCTACAGCTGTTTGAAAAAATGATACGGATTGGCATAGCTTTATTGCATTCATACACGTATAAGGGAACTATGGCAGCTGTATATACAAAGCTATGTTTATCTTAGCGATGATCGATCATTCATGTATGTCACACAATGTAAACTAGAAACCTTGAACAACTAATGTTATAAAGTTGCTGGAATCAACTTGTTGGTAAGAAGTTTAGGTTGTCCGACGCCTTTTTTTATCCCAAAAGAGGAGAGCAAAGGAGCAAGGTGAAATAGCGTTGCATAAAGAAAAGCCAAAACAACTTGGCGGACACCATCAATGATTCCCAACAGTTGGTAAGACGAGCCCCTGCATTAATTAAACTTACCAATATTAGTAATTCCCGAAAAGCATGCTCTTTACTATATTCAGGGACGAATGTTTTGACATGTTGCCATGCCAATGTCAGCTCTTTTTCCTGCACGTGAAAATATACATGATTGAATGTGCAAACCCTGTCATAGCTGTACCGTTATCCATCATTCAAGATGTACGTGTAGCCTTTAAGCCGAACCATGTCATCCCGAGGTGTGTTTGTATGTGCATGCAGGAACCATGAATTTCAATTGGGGCTGACGTGTATATCTTTATCATCAGATTCTTGGTGCTGGTACATCCACCACCATCACCATCACCACGATGAGTCGCTAAATCCTGTGGCTGACAAGAAATCATAAAGAACATGGGTAGCACGAGGTCCAGGCTTCTTGACGACAAAATGAACAACAACAATGATTGTGTATAAAAGGACCAGGTTCTTTGGCAGCGAAACCAAATCATTACCCAGCACCTCAAGGAGCTTTTTCTCATACACAATGCGTCTTAACCCCATCTCGATCTCTTGTGCACTTGCTTTCACTGGTCTATTGAATGCCGCCCCTGTGGAAAGATCATCCAATGGCTGCAAATTGATCATGTCCAATGGCGTTGTTACATACTCAGGTGCCAACTGCTTCAATGTTCAGGTGACCGACAACACCAAACGTTGGTTCAAGGGTGACGACAATGACGAAGATGATAATCGATTCGAACTCAAAGGCGATGAAGGCGAGGTCAAGATCAAGGAAGGCGACGATGACAATGGCTTTTTCGCTGCCATCAAGCATAAGGAAGGTGAAGCATCTGTATCCACATCCAGTCACAGCACTGCACATGCTGAAGGAAAGGGTGCTAAGGCGAGTGCCGAATCTTCAAGCAAGGCTGAAGCTGAAGCCCACAAGAAGGATCGTGATGACAAGGATGATGACGACAAGGATGATGATGACAAGGATCGTGATGACAAGGATCATGATGACAAGGATCGTGATGACAAGGATGATTGCGAGGATGATGATGATGACAAGCGTGGCGATGACAAGGATCATGACGACAAAGATGATGATGACAAGCGTGATGATGATGATGACAAGCATGAAGATAAGGTGAAGGTCAAGGCTGAAAGCAAGGCATCTGCTCATGCTGAAGGTGAAAAGGCTGATGCTCATGCTGAAAGCAAGTCAACTGCACATGCAAACAAGGATGGCAAGGTTGAGGTGGAAACCGAGAGCAAGGCATCAGCACATGCTGAGGGCAAGAATGCACATGCTGAAGCGCAATCTGAAGGTCATGCTGAAGCTTCGGCTCGTAGCAAGGATGAAAAACGTGGTCTTGAAGGTGTAGCTGAGGCTTCAAGTGCTTCATCTGCTAAGGCTAAGGCTGAGGGCAAACATGCAAAGGCATCTGCTGCTAGTGCTTCGGAGGCTAAGGCCAAGGTCCATGACAAGCGTGGTGATGATGATGATGACCATGAGGCTGTTGCCAAGGCTTCAAGTGCTTCTGCTGCTAAGGCCAAGGCTGAAGGCAAACATGCTAAGGCATCTGCTGCTACTTCTTCTTCTGCTAAGGCCAAGGCTCACAACAAGCGTGGCGACGATGATGATGATGATCGTGAAGCTGAAGCTAAGGCATCAAGTGCTTCCGCTGCTAAGGCCAAGGCTGAGGGCAAACATGCTAAGGCATCTGCTGCTACTTCTTCTTCTGCTAAGGCCAAGGCTCACAACAAGCGTGGCGATGATGATGATGACCATGAGGCTGTTGCCAAGGCTTCAAGTGCTTCCGCTGCTAAGGCTAAGGCTGAAGGCAAGCATGCAAAGGCTTCGGCTGCTACTTCTTCTTCTGCTAAGGCCAAGGCTCACAACAAGCGTGGTGATGATGATGATGATCGTGAAGCTGAAGCTAAGGCATCAAGTGCTTCTGCTGCTAAGGCCAAGGCTGAGGGCAAACATGCTAAGGCATCTGCTGCTACTTCTTCCAATGCTAAGGCCAAGGCTCACAACAAGCGTGGTGATGATGACGATGATCATGAAGCTGAAGCTGAAGCATCAAGTGCTTCCGCTGCTAAGGCCAA